GGGAAAGAGCTGGACAAGATGGCAACCAAAGCTTACTTGATCAACAATGGAAAGATGTCGAGCTTCTTCTAATTTTGTGTGTAGAACTGGGTTTGGGTGTATAGCTTCAGGAGATAAATACGGCCTGTATCCAGAGAGCAGGTAAGAAAGACAAATTCCCGAAGGTCCATTTCCTATTAAAGAAAGAAGTTACTGCTTTAGTAAAAATGTCCATAATCTAGAGTTTGTAAGTCACTAAATAAGCAGCATCAGAACCACATTAAAGAACTGTAATGCAGTACTGTCCTGATGCAAAGCAGCTCATAAACTGCACAGTAAAATAAAACCCACCATAGGAACTTCCTCCAAATAAACTAAGCAAAATAATTTTCTGGTAACAAGAAATGTTTACATCATGAAACAAAATGCATATAAAGGAATATCATAACTTTGTATGTCAAATTCACTATTCTTCTGTGAAAATGGTCTGCTGGATAAGATCTGGTGTGCCTGTCACTCATAGTGATATCTGAATGTCACTGCCATCTTAGAACATTGTGTTCCCATTTACACTGGGTACTGTAAAACAAAGAACAGAAAGACAATCTAGAACATGTGCTCTTCAGGTGTGCCCACAAAATAAAAAGGAAGAAAGAGACAAGCAGAAAGCTAAAGACTACTAGTGAAATGAGAAGTTACAGACACAGCAGAGCAGCAACGTAAAAGCTGAGTGAAGGCAGATACAGTACATAACTGGTAAAGTAAAATAAAGAATGTAGTGAGACTACATTAATCATTCAGCATCAACATAAATGCAAACATCATTCTATATCCTATTTAAATCATTTTATAACTCAAATATGTGCACTACTGCAATTTCAATAAACTGATTTATTATAATTTGTTAATAAAAATGTTACATGGGTGGGACCAAAACATTACCAATACGGTAATGAATTATGTTTATTTGACTGGTATTAAACAAAGAGGGGACTATATTTGTAGCATGCAAATACAGAAATAATGTTCATGTTGCAAAGTCAGATATCAAAAAGCTATGGTAAGCTAAGTCAGAAAAGTAAGTGCTAAGATACAGAACTTAGACATGTGAGTATGTACTGTTATTTCTATACCTCCTCTTCCTCATTAACAGAATGAAAAGCATAGTGTTTTCCTAATGAAGCACTATTAGTATTTTGTCTTTGTTTTCCAGGTAGAGTGGCACACATGGTATTTACCACACGCTATTCAAATTCAGAGCTAAAGATAAAGTTACTAATTTATTCATGTTTTCATTTAGCACTCATTGTTAGGATGTTAGCTCTTACTTCCTCCAGTTTCAAGTCTTGATCACCAGAAGTCAACTGTTGTTTCCTGTTCCCCCTCACCTTTGCACATGCTATTTCTATCACCTGTTTACAATCTCACTTCTCCAATGCCTGTCACTTCTCCATTTTCAGACTTCCCAGTCCATAATTTCCCAACAGCTTGCTGAGAGCCTGTTCATTCACATTTTCTTTATATATCAGATCTCTTTTTTCTCTTCCGCCAGGCTACCTTCATCAGTCTGGTCCGCAGAAGCATTATATCCCATACTCAGTCACAATGCTGGGTGTGCAGACGTATCACAGCCATGGGATACAAGAAAATCGTGAGTTCTTCAAAGGTTTGGACTGATAAGTTCTAAGGAAACATCAATAAGCACGTTTTCTCCAAAGGCCTAGAACTTGTGTAAGTATATGAAACTGCACAATGGGTCCTACCAATCAATAAAGGCAACAATAAAGGCATTAGAGTGCCTGTGTACTCTAAGGACCATAAAGCACTAGAAAAAGACTTTCTAGGAAAGCCAAGGATTTACATCACTGGGATCAAGACAGTTAAATCAAAAGTCTATAATAAAAGGTTTAAATATTGGTGATCCTGCTGATACTACTTCCCAAACCACTTTGTTTCCTCTTTTGATGTTTACAAAAAAGACTGTAAAGAATCTTTCAGACTGTGAAAATGTACTTCCTTACTCTCACACTGTTCTTACACTCCCACAAACAGATCAGCATGAGGTAGCCGAGTGCAATTCACCCCAAGAATTTAAAGCTTAAAACAGATCCAACCCCTTGTCACATGGAGCTGTTACCCACTTGCCACATGAGGTAGATGTGAGAGAGAGCTTCGGCAATACATCAAAACCATCCATAATAAAATTATATGAAGATGTGAAAAGATTCTAACAGTTCACAAAAATTCTCAAGACTGAGTAACTTCTTAGAATTATTTTTAGAATTATAACTTGTGCACAGTAAAAAATTCTGTTTATTTTTACAAGTGCATAGCTAGAGTTTTTACTAGTGAGGTTTAAAGGAAGCTAGTCCACAATGGAAAGAGAAAAAGTATTTTATATATCTAAGGATGCCAAGCTAAAGATTATCCTTACTGGCTAAGACTAAAAAGAACCACATGGATAACAAAAGGTGCCAAAACACAGGCTGACAAGGGCCAAGGAAATTACTAAACATGAGATTATGTTAAGGTGAATTACTGTCACTGAGCTCCCTAGCCTCTCCCTTGGACCATCCAGAGGGCTGATCCAAACACAGATACTACTCTTTGAGCAGACCGAGTCCAAAGAAAAGAAATTCCTTCATGGATATGTTATCAAAAATGTCTAAAATGAAGGTTCAGTGGCAAAGTCTGCAATTAGACTTGCTATGATTATCTCAAAAAATCCTTGAGGGGGAAGAAAGACTTTTAGAAATGAGAAATTTATACCTTGACTAGTGTGCTCTTAATTCACAAAAAATGCCTCCAATAACAGCTCTGATTATAACTAAGATACTACTATTATACAAACTCCAGATATACATCCAATATATCCCCAAACCGCCAGGTCCTGTTCATTTAAGCACCAGTCAATACTGTGTTTGAATAGCAGCAGCAGCTTCTCCTGATCAACAGTAAACTACAGTATAATCACCTTTACATTATGTTCTATATTTAAAGTAAATAACCAAGTTCATCATAAACCCCTTATTATTTGGATGAAAATTTGAGACATTGTGTTTATTCAGAAATTACCAGTGTTAGTGCGGAATATGAAAATGTCTAGCATAGAACATCCTCTAGATTTAACAGCTCCAGCATGACATTCTTCAATCCCAACTCCTTCAAATGGAATGTATCTGTTTCTTCCCCATTTCTTGAAGACAACAGGTACAGCTCAGAAGTTACTTAACATTAGCAAAGTAGCTTAGTGCTCTATGGAGAACTGCAGTACAATATGCAGTACAGGCTCAGAAGCATATCTTACATTGGGCGTGACAGAGGAAAAAAGGAGATGGTGAAGTTAAGAAAGGGCAATGTAAGTTATTGCTCCATCATTAAGTTAACTCTTTCTACATGTGCAGTCTTTTTTCTTTCTTATTAATAAAATAATGCAATGAGAAAAGAGCGACTCTAGGAAGCTAAAAGTATGTTTAACACCAGCTAAACAGAGAAGATCAAGCCAATAGAGAGTGTATGTGTGTACATGGGGTAGATGACATCTATTTATGCATTCTTCTACTACATTATTAAATCATTTTAATGACACAGCCTGGTCAAGTGTGAGGTGTCCCTGCTCATAGGATCCTGATAGTTTTTAAGATCCCTCCTAACCTTAACCATTCTATGATACTATGATTTTAGATCCCTTCTAAGGCTCTTCAGCCAGTCAATTAATTAGTGATAACTGGCTGCCAGCAGAAAAGACCAGCTTGTGAAGTGTCTCAAATATATCTGTGAAAAAGCTTTTGGATAACCTAATTGTTTTTCAAGAAGAAACAGCCAAGGCAGCTGTGTTTGGTGTCAGCACATAGAAAGGCTTCTAGACAAAATCAGTATGGAGCACAGGTATTTGCATAACGCATATTTGCAAAACTAAACAGTGAAAACTGAGTCATTAACCACATGGCAAACCTATGCTGAGGTTGATAAAATGACAGGAAACTGTTTGTGTGCAACTATGATACAGAACTCAGCAAGTGATTCACGTCTGTCACATCCACTTAAGTGTATTACATGAGTACTATTTTAAGCTATCATGAAGACAACTTTGAGAATATGCACTCTGTAAACAACAGTTTTTCAAAGTTGTGGAGATATACTGCAAGCACATTATATTCCACTGCTTGGAATCTGGTTGTTTGCAGGTACAATTAAAGGTGTTAGTTTCTTGTAGTCCCAACACTCTTGGACTAGATTATTGAAAACCTCCTTTACTTTCGATCTTTTCTTTATCCCCTAATCAAGTTATGGCAGTAAGAAGCTGGTGACCAGCTGTTGCTGAAAAACCTTGGCCCAATACAAATAATCCTGGCACATTCAATTAAGCTCTCTCTGCTCTTTCAGCAGGATTTTTAAAATACAAGCCTTTAACTAGTTCATCAAGACTACAGTTTATTGTTTCAAGTGGATTCATTGATTTGGATTCATTTTGGAAGATGGAAGAATCCATTACTGATGGATGCAACAAAGAAAAAGACAATTAATGAGAGAGGTTAGCATCTCACCAACATATGGTACACATTTTATATCATACTTTTCCCTGTCCTACCTGACCTCACCATTTTCTAGCAATGCAATCATCAACAACCTCCATACAACCTGAGGCAGACAAAGAGTATTAATCAAATCCTATGTAATCAATACTGGAGTCAAAACAGTTCCTCCACTAAGGTTCATGTACTTGCTGCCAAATAATGCACCTTGTTGTGTCAAAGCACAATTTAAATTCAAATATACTCCAATAGCAAGTCCCTCAACATAATATTATGGTACTGTTATTCCTCGGAACAACTTTATTACTCTAATAAACATCTTCACTGTACGGATGCTAAGCATTAGTTATTTAATGTTAAATTACTTCATGCAGCAGGTCTAGAAAGGCAACAGCAGTGATGGAGAGTCTTAAAAAAAGTTTAAACACTCACCTATTATTACTACAGGCAGAGTAAGGAGGGAGTCCCCAGGCAGAACAGTTTCTTCAATTAAAGGCATTCTTTTAACCTTCCTCCCAAGGCTGTCACCAAAATACTGGACAACGGAATCCAAAAGCTGTCCTTCAGTTTCAGGGCTGGTGTAACTTCTAATTAAGAAGGACAGATGGGAGAAAATTCAAATGAAATATCTGAACTGTTGTTAAAACAGTCTCTTCAAAAATAAAAGTTCCTTTTGATGCTCTACTTTAAGAGCTACAGAATTGCCAAAACAGGTATCTAAAAAATCTATAATCTACAAATTTTTACTCTTCAGCATAGCTTTTCTAACTGAAGATTTTTTTAAAAGTCTACTTTCTCCTCAAAAGTCTACAGAAGGATAACAAAAAGGCACAGATGGCTCTGCAGAGATGCAGATTTCTAATTTCAGTTTATACACAGTAAAACCAGCAAGGATTATTTTGATTCCCCACACAGTAAAACTCATTCCTCATTATCCTTATCAAAAGAGGAGAGATACACACTGCCTAGCCAATTAACAACATCAGGGCCAGCCAAAGGCTGAAGGAGCAGCTATTTTACAACAGCGGCCATTTGCATCCCTTCCTACCTCCTGAGTAGCACAGGGGACTTTGCCTCAACAGATTTCTGTTCAGGCAGAAGTAAGGCTGATTAAAGCTGGTGGTGGTGTGAGGATGGAGAAAAGTGTGATTCCCTGTAAGCCCCAGACAGAGCCCATTCTAACCACTGTTAAAAGAGAAGTTTTGATAAAAGAAATTGCCAGGCAGTCAGGTGGGCTATTGCACAGCAGACTGCTTTCATCCCTATTTATTTTCCTAAATTTCTCAGTTCCTTCTGTGCAACACCCACTTTGGCTCCTCTCATAACTCTTCACCATCCAAGTGTGCTTCGAGACTACAAAGACTTGTTTTCTATTGTTTTTAATTATTGTTCTTAATTATTTAGGAGCCCTTTCTGAAGCCTTTCCAGGTCACTGAAGAAGCATGCACTGCCTGTTTAGCTAGAAAGGCAGGGACAAATTAAAAACAGAGTGCTATTGGCAGTTATTTTGTAAAGTCTTCAAAATTAAGACTTTAATTAAAAACAACATAATCACTTGATCTAAACATTTCTCTCTTTTCAAACACAGCTTTAATAATCAACTTAGTAAATAAAAGTACTCTTACTTATTTTGTCAGAATCTGCACATCTTAAAGCTACTGTGGTATTTCAGGAGTTATTTTCTACATGGGACCAAAAGCCTAAGACACTGATCACACTCCCACAGCCTTCAAGAAGCCACATAAGTTACGTGCTGTCTCAACTCCCAGAACACGGAAGGTTCTGCTACATATTTCAAAAACCTTCCTCAACGGGGAAGTAACACTAGAGACAGAGCTGTACAGTAATAACAGCACTGGCACACACTGTAATACCGCTCTCTGATGGCTATTTCCCTGTTACAAAGGGTAGGGAGCTATTCTAAGCCTGTACTTATTTCAGAAAGCAAGTACTTTGAATTTCCTGCACTAGAACCAAAAAGTTTGCAAATTATGTGCTTACTGTTTTGACTACAGCTGCGCATTAGTTCTTTGTGGTCCTGGGAGTCGCATAACAGACAAACAGCCTAAGTTAGATGAAGACAAGCAGAAGGCAGATAGAAAATCTAATTATCATACTGCTTTTTTTCACCTCTGATTTTAGATAGGCACAGTTAGACTACTATTTTCCAGCTTCTGCTGGAAGTTAAGTAAGGTAATACTACACAATGCTTTGTGAAAGACAGGCTTAAAGAGAGCACGCATGTTCTAGGGTGGTTTTAATACACTTGCTGTGCTAGATGGAAGATAGAAATCAAAACAAACATTTCAACATCTCTTTTATGAGATATATGCACAGTGCTGAAGGCTTCAAACACATCTTTAACAACAAAAAAGTTTCTTCTTTGCAGCTTTAATAGTTTATCACAGACTACCCCACTGGTATAGCACATAATCTAATTTTGCATAGAAACATCCACATACAATGCAGCTTCTCAGCTACTGTGCACGTGAAGCAGATGAAGGACTGTTGCCAGGAGCACGCTCTT